TGCTTCTGAGCTAGATGGCCGCTTGTTTACCTTCAAGCTTTTAAGTCCCCAGACGCTATATCTTTTGATAGCCGGGCACCATCAGCTTTCTTCACCACATTTGCTTATCCACGGCCCAACTTTCACATGCGTAATGAGGCAGTTAAAGCACCATGGCTGGGGCATCCGAGTCCTCCCAGTGGTATCTTTGCTGTTGTCCAGTGCAGCGTGCCCTTTGACTTCTTGCCTGGGCAGGGCGGGGCTGTTGCTTTCGTTGCTTGTGCTGCTGAGGGGTGAGGGTGGACCCCTTCTCTGCAGAAGTACCATCTCACTTGGAATCCCTGAACTAGCCATTTGTGTTCCCTGAGGAGTTGACAACGTGGCCTTTTAGCATCATGAACCAGTCAGCTTTGTTTACTTACAGCCCCTGCTGGCTCTCGTTGCCTGTGGGTGGTCCCAGGACACCATTCCATTGGGTGCACGGTATGATTGAGACCCATGCGCCCCGCCCTTGCCCTGTCCTCCCTTTGCAGAGCTCCTCTGCACTGTGTCCGAGCACTTTGCAGTCAGAGATGGTCTGCTTGTCTTTCCTGGGGGCCTTCAGCCTGGAGTTCCTGATCCTGTAAGCTCCCACGGTCTTTCCATCTGGTCATCTTGGGGAGGCTTCCGCCTGCCTCACTGTCAGAAGCAGCACCCCCCCTCCTCATTGCCCAGGATGGTCCCTCCCTGAGGGTGAGGGGTGCTTGTGTACAAGCCGGTTGACTCCCTCTGTTGGGTGCTTGCTCCCTGAGGGTGAGAACCTCGCCAGTCTTGCTTGCCCGCATGTAACGTGCCAAGAACAGTTCTTGACACATAGTTGGCAAGCCCCGGTGAGTCAAAGTAGAACTGGCCTCCGGAGGGTTTTCAGGGGTGGAGTTTTTGGGAAGCAGATTGCCAGGCCTTTATTCCGAGGTGCCTCTAGGCAGACTCCTGGGAAGCAGCAGAGCGTGTTAACTGGTCACGCTACTCGGGGACTCCGTTTGTCACCTAGCAGGTGTTTCATATGTACTTGCTGGGTGAATTGATGATGTAGTCACTGGGAACCCATTCGTAGTTTGTGTGGTGGGTCAGTTATTAATTATATATGTAGATCCGAGGTGGGCTTGGCTTTGTTAGGTTTTACTCTGAACCTCTCTTTGAAAATGCAGTGCAGCGTGCTAGGGTCTTGTGAACTAGACCAAGCGAAGCAGAGGTTCCCACGGAGACGTGCGTTTCATTGGTGTGGTTCCTGCCAGACTCCAAGTCCACTTCACTTTCACTTGGCCTCCTTTTTCCCCCACCCAGACCCATGTGCAGCTCGGAGGGGTGAGGATCGGGAGGGTTCCTGCTGTTTTCTTATTGCTCAGGCTGGCTTGCCTGGGGGGAGATGGTTTAAGACTATCATTGCTGAGTTTTATGCATTTCCATAAAGTCACTTGATGCTGCATGCTTACTGTCTTTGTGCTCCTGTTCCCCTCTCACCACCAGGCCCCTCGCCAGCCCCATGGCTGTATTTCCATTACCCAAAGACTAATGGGCCGAGTGTAGGTTCATTCAGCTTGATTAATGGACAGGGAAGAAGGCGTGAAAATTCAAGGATCCTTCTGCAAAGATCACATAATTTAATAAACAGTAATTGCCCGGGGCACTATCCCTGCTCATTTGTTAATGTGCCTGGATATTTTTTTGTGAAGATGAAACACTTTAATATCTGGTGATCACTGTGGGGCAGGTTCATTTTTATTGGTTTGTGACTTACTGCCCCAATCCACTCTTTCTTCCAGCCTCCCTTCTACCCACAGCCCCCAGGCTGAGTACAGGAGGGGCCAGTGCCTCAAACTGGACACGCTCTGCCTCCGACCCAGTGAGGGAGTGGGCTTCTGGACCTGCAGCCCGAGCCCTGACTAGTTGGTTGTATCTGACAAGGGTCAACCCCTGGGAACGTGGAACAGGAGCTGGGCGGTCCGGGCACGCAGGGCACGTGCAGAAGTTCATTAAACTGCCAAGACCAGGCACATGTCAGAGACTCCCAAAGTGCACCTAGGCTGCCAGTAGCCATGAGATGACACCCCCTTGGTTGGGCTCGTCTGATCTGTCACATTATCTTGCAGTCCAGTCCCTCTCCTCTGGGGACTCGGCCCCACAGGGCCTCATCCTGACCCTCGTGTGCCTTTGCAGGGGAGCAGCCCTGGGGACAGCAGCACCCTGGAGATCCGGGAGCGGCGACTCTGCGTGGGTGTGCACAACGGGCTGGCCTTCCTGCAGAGGCCACAGGTGGTCGTGCTGGTGCCTGAGATGGAGGTGGCCCTGACGCGCTCCGCCAGCTTCAGCAGGAACGTCAGTGCCTCCAGCAAGAGCAGGTACCTCTGGTGGGGGCGGTTGGGACGTGGGGTGCAGCACTAGGTCGTCCACAGGGTTCGGTCGGGGTGTCGGGGGTTCCTCCCTGTGGCCTTGTTGCTGCTCTTCCCCAGCTCACGGTGAGGCGCACATCGCTGAGGCTAAGCCTGCAGAGTTTGAGCTGTGATGTGGCGGTGTTCCCAGGCGCTGTCTGTGGAGGCCCGTGTGCCGCTTCTCACAGAGATGTCTCTGTGACTGGCTTTTTGTGTCACAGAGTGACATCTGTCCTGTGTGACACAGAGCCCCGGTCCAGTTGTACCCTCCTGTCCCAGGTCATAGATAGATACTCGGGGCCAGGTGTTCCCTGTTGTCCTCTCTTGGGGTGGGGGGCAGGCCAGCCCCGGAGGCAGCCCCTGTTCCGGAGCCCTCTGGGGAGGGGTGCCACTCTCCCTCTCCGCCTGCACATGACCTCTGGCCCCTGAGGGCAACACGTGGAAGCCCTGGCTAGGGGGCAGCCTGGGAGCACTCGGCAGCACACACCAGTGCAGCTCCACATGCCGCTGCCTGCCTATTCCCATGCGCTGGGTGCTGCTTGTGTCGTCTTGGGTGGGGTGAGGGCAGGGGTAGCGGGGTGCCCCCTTTGTTGTTTCCCCAGGTGGCTGGGGCGTGGGGGCTGCGGGGTGCTCCCTTGTCTCTCATGGGCGGGCTGGGCGTGGGCACAAAGGGGCCGTCATGCTCATACTCTCCGCTGTGTGTTCTGATCCAGCTCTGGAAGCCAAGCTCTGGTTCTGAGAAGCCGCCTTCGACTCCCCGAGATGGTCAGCCACCCGGCGTTTGCGGTTGTCCTCCAGCTGGAGTACGTGTTCACTGCCCCCTCGGGGCTGGACGGCAGTGTAAGCGCGGCCTCTCTGCATGTGGGTTTTGTCCCGCCTGGCCCCAGGCTCGCAGGAGCCACAGAGCCAGCAGGAGTATTCCTTCCCATTGAAGCTCAGTAATTGGTATTAGCAGAATGGAGAGGCTAACACGTAGGGAATAGGATTCTAGAAAGTTCTTCCTAATGATGGTTTTGTTTTCATCATCTCCCACTTTTATGGTAATAGTGCATTCTGCTGGCTGATTGTAATAGATAAATAGCCCAATAGGCTCCGTGTTTCAAAATAGCATTAATTCATAATCGATACTCTATCACCGAGCTTCATTTATGAATGGTGTATACTTATTTTGCTTTTAGATGGAATAAGCCATTTTTAAAAGACTGCGCGGTTTCGTCCACGTGTCAGTTTGAGGGGTCTATATCGACAGGTATACAAGAGATGTGTGTGCAAGCCTAGTGCTAAATGTGTGGGGGGTTTAGCTCCGCTCGGCCCTTGTGGTGCCGGTGGAAGGTGGCCGTGCAATCACTCCTAAGTTTCTTGTGATGTGGTGGTGGTCTGCCCGTGGGATGTCAGACTGCTTGCTGTCACCGAGTGAGTGCACTGTGTTCTGGAGAGGAAATGCGCCGGGCATGGAAGGATCTTCCACGCGAGTTATGGTACTTGTGTCGAACGACGAGGGTGCGAGGCGTCTGTTGGGGAAGTAGCCTGAATTGATGCTTCGATGGTTTAGAAAGAAGCAGGGAGGAATGCCTGGGTGGGTGCTTGTCTGTATGAGTCTGCGACAGGGTACCCCCAAAGCAAGGCCTCAGGGGAAGTCAGGGCCAGGCCTTCAGGGGATGGGGCTCCTCTCAGCATGTTCTTGGTCCCTTTCTAAAAAACCCAAAAAACCTTACTGCTGTTGAGTTCATCCCTACCTATAGGGATCCTATAGAACAGTGGTTCTCAGCCTGTGGGTTGAGACCCCTTTGGGGGTCGAACGACCCTTTCACAGGGGTCACCCAATTCATAACAGTAGCAAAAGGACAGTGATGAAGTAGCAACAAAAATAATGTTGTGGTTGGGGGTCACCACCACATGAGCTGCATGAAAGGGTTGCGGCCTGAGGAAGGTAGAGAACCGCTGGTGTAGAAAGTGTAGAACTGCCCCTGTTCCCAAGACTGTAGCTCTTCTGACCTTGGTACTGGCTGCCTAACTCCTCCCGAATAATCCTTGAACTGGCACCAGACCAGGTGCTGCCAGGTCACCTCTGGGGACCCCATGTGTGTCGGAGTAAAACTGCTCCTGAGTTCTCAGGGGCTGACTTCTCAGGAGTAGGTTGCCAGACTTCTCTTTTGAGGTTCCTCTGGGTGGATTTGAACAGCTGTCTTTTTGGTTGGGAGCTGTGTGTGTTAACAACTGTTTTGGGCCTACTCAGGGGCTCTTTGAAAAACAAGCACACTATATTCTAACTTAGGTGGGGGTTTACATTTCAGATCATCAAGTTTGCAGTTAACAATCCAAATCATTAATCAGACCCTCTAAATAGTCCGCCTCTACGCACTGCCCAACCTCCGCTCCTCTCTGTGGACCTCCGCTTCCCAGTGCCCTTCCTCCTCCCCCTCCCCTGCTGCCCTGTTCCCCTTGGCAACCTTCAAAGTCTGTTCTTTTGGGTCTGAGAGTCTTTATTATGTTCTCTCCGTCTTCCCCCAACCATAGCAGAGGTCTCATGTAATGTTTGTCCTTTTGTGATTGGCTCACTCTCCAGGTCTGTCCATGCCACAGGGTGCTTTGTGGTCTCACCATTGTGTTTAGGCATGCATGGTATGCCGGGGTCTCTCTACGTGCCACTCGGGGCTGTCATCCTTCAATTGGGATGAGGTCCTTCCATACCTATGCCTGTACTCAGACGAAAGGGTTCTTTCAGCCTTGTCTTTGCTTTTCAAAAATTTTGTATAATGAAAAGTTTTAAACCTGCGCAGACGTAGCCTGGGCTGTGTGATGAACCTCTCTGTAAAAACCGAAACCACTCTCAAGGAGTGGATTCTGACTCATGGCCACCCTATCCAGGCTTTCCGAAGCTATCCATCTTTATGGGAGCAGTTGGCCACCTCTCCCTCCCTCGGAGCAGCTGGTGGGTTTGAACCATTGACCTTGAGGTCAGTCCAGTACCTAACCCACAGCACCACCTGGGCTCCAGATGAACCCCCATGCACCTTCAAAACTTGGGGCCTTTACCGACAGCCTTTTGTCATCCTATCCTTGCCCACAACTGGGTTTGAGGCAAATTTCATCTGTTAGCACCAGCTTGTGCATTTCTTTCATTTTTAAAATACCCCTTTATCATAGCAAATTTCAAACACCTTCTCAAGTAGAAGTAAGCACATGATGAATCCGTGTACCCATCACTGAACTCCACAAGTTGGAGCACATGACCATGAGCAGACAGGAGCTATCTGCTCATCTCCCCTTCCTCTGTCTGTCCCCGCTCTCTGCCCCTACCACATTATGTTAGAGCAAATCCCAGACGTGTGTTATCCACCCATTAGGATGCCAATTTGTCTCTCTGGCTAGAAGATGGGGGCTTAGAGACAGCACTTCAGTCATGTGGTTGGGTGTTGTTGAGTTGTTGAGGATCTTGGGTGGCACGTGGTTAAACATTGGACTGCTAAACAATAGTGCAAAACACCCGCTGTTTCCTGGGTGCAAAATGAGACTTTCTACTCCCATAAAGAGCGACAGTCTCAGAAGCCCACAGGGGCAGTTCTCCCGTGTCCTGTAGGGCTGCTGTCAGTCAGAATGACTCAATGGCAGTGAGCCTAGTTTGTTTATTTCCCAGTTTAGTGACTGTGGGACGTAGAGTTTTCCAGGCTGCCATCTCCATGGGATCCGATTGCCAGGCCTTCCTTCTGCTGAGCTGCCGGGTGGGTTCAAAGGGCCCACCTTTTGGCTACCAGCTGAATACTAACCATTCTCCCACGGGGTTCCCTTAATATTTTCACGTCTAAAAACATAACTTTCTCAAGGTCAGACAATGTAGAGTCTACCATGGGTGTGCGTTTCTCAAGGGTACTCTGATTAGAAATGGGCTTGTAGACCCTGAGTAAATGCTGAGTGATACCTTCACACGTGAGCTGGGCTGCCTGCCCGGACGAGACCAGGGCGTCCTGGCAGTGTGAGTTAGTCTTAGGATGGCCTTGCCACCTTCAGCTGGCGTGTGGTGCTTTGGTCCCGATGCCTACAAACCCAAGCAGGCTGAGCAGTGGGTGCCTTGGCTTCATGCTTCAGACCAGGAGCGCAAAGCCTCCGCCTCCCTCGGCTCTTTGTAGAAAGACATCCATAAACAGCGTGACCATGAGCAGACTTTTGGGCCCCAGAGATTTTGTAGTCTCCCAAAAAATAAGCTAGAAAACACTTTTGAAAAGACACATCTTTTTTTTTTTTTTTAATAAATGGTTGCATTTTACAGCTCGCCCAAACCGCCCAAACCTTTTCCTTATAATCTGCCTTTTGATTAGCTGGGAACAAGGATATAGCTCTTGTTGTGGAATTTCCAGGACATGGGGACAGGGCAGCCACATGAGGTCACACAGGGCTGCTGTCCGCTCTGCAGGGCTGGGGGCTGTAGTGCTGACAGAGCAGAATGGGGTGGGAGAAGGCCACATGTTTATGTCAGGATAAGTAAAGACCTCCCCCCACCCACCTCCTGGATTTACCCAGGTGAAAGCAGTCTCATTTTTTGTTGGTCACATGGAACAGTGACTTCCCCTATCCAAATCTCTAACTAATTTACATCTGTCCATTGGCTAGTATTGCTTGGAGGAGCCCTGGTGGCTTAGTGGTTACATGTTAGGTTGCTAATCACAAGGTTGGCAGTTCAAAACCACCAGTGGCTCCGCTGGAGATAGATGGGGCTTTCTACTATCATAGTCTCTGGAGCCCACAGGGACAGTTCTGCCCTGTCCTATAGGGCCACTATGAGTCGGAATTGACTTGATGCAATGCGTATTCATTGGGGGGAACACACACACACACACACACACACACACACACACACACACACATTTGATAAGTGCTTGGGTGTTTTCTGTGGGCTGGGAGCAGGCCCAGCCCCCCGGGGAACATCCCTGTATATGTGTCAGATAGTTCACGTCTGTCCCAGATTTACTCCTCAGATTCCCTAACTTTAAATTTCCTAGAGGTCTTGGGTTAGGCGGTGGGGTGTTATCCACAGGGTCAATGGTACAAGCCCACCAGTTGCATCGAGGGAGGCGGGTGAGTCTACCCCTCAAAACTTAAAAATTAAAAAAGCAGTCCTCGGCCATCCAGTCCATCCCGACACATAATGGCTCTACACAGCTCCTTTCTGAGACTAGCCGTTTATGTTAGCAGTCCACCGTGGAGCCGCTAAGCCGCCAGGGCTCTTCTAAGGCGCTCGAAGCCTCCAGTGACAAAAGGCCCAAACCAACCAGCAGACCCCCTGTGCTTGAGGGTCGAACTGTGCTGCCCGTTTCGGGGACTGCTTCTCTTGGAAACAGATCACGAGGTCTTTCTTCCAAGGCACCTCTGGGTGTGTCTGAAGCACCCACACACTCCTGGAGTCACCAGTGTTGGCAGCCTAGCACCGCTCTGCTACAGAATTGCACTTGGGCCACCCACGTGCTTTGAGGTATAGGCGCCCCCTGGAGCAGGTGGGCTTTAGGGAGGTTCCCCCACAAGGCCCTCCCCCCACCCTGCACCCCGCCCCTGGGCAGCCTGTGAAGGATTGTAGGCTGGTGCACGGCAATTGAACGGCCTCTAGTCCCTGCTGACCCTACCTACGTTTCAGAGAAGAAGCGATCAATAATGTACTAACCGTCTCTTTTCGTTGGACTATTAAAAACAAAAGCGGGGGAAATGGCTATTTATGTAACTGACAGAGCCCCGCATAGAGGTGCTTCGGATTGATGGAGAACTGAGAGACCCAAAACGACTCTGGGTTGGGAAGATGCGGTACTAAGTCACCTCAGAAGAATCAAACCCAGAGGAGTTACACGAGTCGCATTGGCAGTTGGATACATATTTTATTTCAGACACACACACACCCCTGCCAGTAGGGTTTTCCACAATTGATTTTTAAATGAATGTTCTTATTGTGAACTAGGTGGGAGCTGCTGGAGCGGTTTTGATCCTGGAATCACCACCTGTAATTTGCAGGAGGAGACCGTTGTGAGGCACAGTCTCAGCATCCTTGGAGTCCGGTAGTTTTCCCTCACTCCCATGGAGTCGCCGGTTCCCTAATAGCTTTCTGACCGTTTTACTTTTGGAGAGCCGTGGCACTCTGTCTCCTTCTCAGTGATGCATGGTCCTTTGCTCAGTACTGTTTTAGAATCTGCCCCTCGAAGATTGTTCTTGCATGAGCAGGAAGAGGCAGACCCGGTGGCAGAGCTATCTGTTGGAGGTGGAAAAGTTCGGCATGCAGTCATGTGTTGGGGTGTCTTGCTTTTCTGAGAAGGACTTGGACCTCCAGGATAGGGGTTTGTGTGTGTGTGTTTTATAGGTGTGTATGTGTGTGTGTGTGTGCTTTCATCTCATTGAGTTGCAGGGACCCGTGTCCCCGTTCTCCCCCATAGAGGGGACACACAGGTGGCAGTTGCCCAGCCTGTGGGCTGAAATGTAGCGTGGCTGAAAGCTCACACAGGGCCCTGCTGGAATGGGTGGTTTGAGGCCCAACATCACTCGGGGAAGAGACATGAATTTGAAACTTGCTGCTGATTTGGAATTTGAGATGTGGCTATGGAAGCTTCTTTGGGGTAGAGTCGAATCTGCCAGGCACAGCCTGACGAGATGCTTGCTGTCCCTTTAGTGTATGTGGGAATTGCCTGGGTCCTGGCAGGGATGCTGACGCAACTTCTCACCCAGGTTTGGCCCAAGTTAGCAAGTCCACCAGCCCTGGAAGCCCTCCTGGGCTCCCAGTGCACCTCCAAAAGTGGGTTTCTCGAGCATCTCCATCCAGTAGACTCATGCCGCTCTAGCAGTGGTGGTCCCTCCTACAGGGTCAGCCCCCCTCCCTGTGGCCCCGGGAAAGGCTGCTGGACAAGAGCGTGGGCAGTGCCCTCAGGAACCATAAGGAACCCTGGCTCTGCTGTTGCTCCTCTGAGGGCGTAGCTGCCTTCTGGATCCTTCAGGTTCTCTGTGCAGGCATCTTGGGTGCAGAGAACATGTTCCACTCCTGGCTCTTGCTATTAATACCTCTTCCTGCTTCTGAGAGGGCTCATTATATGCACAATAAGGGCTTCCTGTTTGTAATTACCCATAGGTGGATCCTGATGATCAGTGTCTTCCCCCACCTTCCCAGACCCAGGCAGGGAAAGATAGTTGGGTAGGGGTTAGATGCTTTGGTTATAAGAGCCACACGAAGTAACTTTCTGGCCCTCCAGCAATATTGAGGGATTCTATGGGCACAGTACTGAGTGAATACAGAGTATTGTATTGGAAGTAATGGAAGGAATACAGAGTCAATGTACCAGAAAGTACTGGTGACCACGTAACCATTTTAGGAGGTAGCATGTGATCAAGAATCAATAGTATTAAAGGAGAAGTCCATTCTGCACTGAAGGGATCAGAGAAAAACAAGGCTCCAGAAATGGATGGACTACCTTTGGAAATGTTTCAGTAAATTGATGAACCATTGAAAGTATGCCAAGAAATTTGGAAGACAGCTACCTGGTCAACCAAATGTAAGCGATCCACATTTGTACCTATTCCCAAGAAAGGGGATGCAGCAAGGGGGAAATTATGGAACAAGATCATTCATATCATACGCAAATGAAATTTTGCAGAAGATAATTCCAAAACGGCTGCAGCAGTACATCAGTAGGGAGCTGCTCAAGATGCAAGCCAGATTTCGGAGGTGATGTAGAACATGCTGACATCAGATTGATCTTGGCTAAAAGCAGAGAGTACCAGAAAGACGCTTACTGGTGTTTTATTGACGGAGGCGTTGACTTATGTGAATAACATTGGGAAGAATGAGAACTTCAGCACATGTCATTGTGCCCATGCAGAACCTGCTTACAGACCAGAGACAATTGTTCAAACAGAACAAGGGAATGCCTTGGTTTTCAGGAAACCATGCAGAGAAAGTGCACACTCAGGAATAAGTGCCCCAGGGTTGTAACCTCTCACCGTACTTACTCTGTGTATTCTGAGTGGACAGTGTGAGACGCTGGACCGTATCAAGAAGAATGTACTATCGGGATTAGAGGAAGGCTCACGAACAACCTGCGTTATGGAGATGACAGCATTGCTTGCTGAAGGTGACGAGCACACGAGCACTGACTGATGAAGAGTCAAAGACCACAGCCTTCACTGTGAACATAAAGCAGCTCCTCACACCTGGGCCAACAGACAGCATCACGATAGACGGAGAAAAGGTGGAGGGGAGTTGCCAAGGTTTTCATTTTACTTGGATCCACAATCAACACCCACGGAAACAGTGAAGAAATCAGATGACTTACTGCGTGGAGCAAATCGGTTGTAAAAGATCTCTTTAGAATGTCAAGGATCAAAGATAACCCTGTGAAGATGGAAGATGTCATTTTGAGGTGCATCTCACCCAAGCCGTGGCCTTTCTCCCATCCCAAGTACAACCAGGCCCGACCCTGCTCAGCCTCCTCGCTCAGACAAGATGGGGCGCATTCAGGGTGGCATGGCCATAGACACCAGGGCCTTTCTAATCACCTCATGGACACGCACCATCTGGACCCTGACTAAGCACGACCAAAGAAAAAGTGATGTGTTTGGACCGTGGTACTGGTGAAGAATGGTGGAAGTCCTGTGGACCTCCAGAAGGCCAACAGCTCCAGCGCCAGCTTGAGAGAGAGAGAGAGAGAGAGAGACAGACAGACAGACAGACAGACAGACAGACACGGCTGCTCCAGAGAAGCGAGGATGGCGAGACCTCACCCCGAGAACTGTGGAACATGTAATGAGGGAAGCCCAGGCTTCGGACCAAGGGCATCGTAAAGGGCTTGGGGACGGGAAGAGCCAGTGGAGGAAGAGGAAGAAGGCCCTTTGTGAGCGAGAGCGACACAGGCGGTGGGTGTTGGGTGTCTCAGCGGTGATTGGGAGGAGGACCCCGGCCCCGGCAGCGCTGTGTTCTGTTGTTGTACACGGGGCTGCCGCGGGGAGGAATCGACTGCCCATAACAGCAGCCACACCAGCCGCAAGGTTGGCGGTCATGGCCCCTGAGATGCGCCTTGGGGGAAAGCCGGGCTATGAGAACACTGTGGAGCCCAGTTGTAGTCTGCACACCTGGAGTCCACTCCACAGCAGCCGATGGCAACAGCCAAATCCCCTTTGGGCTTGGAGTCTCTGGATGGTACATGTGGTTAAGTGCTCAGCTACTGACCAGAAGGTTCAGTATCTGGGATGATAAGACCTGGTAGTCTATTTCCAAAACATTAGCCATTTAGCATCCCATCGTGCCCAGTGTCTACTCTGACACACAGGGGGCAGCCATGAGTCACTGGTGACCTGCATCTTCACAGCCCCAGTGGGAAGTCTGCCCACTGTCAGGCAGGCCTGTCTACTCATCCTGAAGTCTCTGTGTACATGATCGTGACAGTAAACCACGAACCTCCTTGCTCAGCCCGGGGACGGGGGTGGTGGTGGATTTCAGGGCCAGTGCAAAGCCGGGGTTTAGCTTCATTCCCACTGCTCATTCAATGACGGGTGAAAGGTGTCCCTTCAGAATGCTTGACCTATAGACTTGACCTGAGTCTGTTCTGGGTGCAAGTTCTTCCTGGTTCTATGACTGAAGTTTCTTCCCTGGGTTTTTGAATGCTGTTGGGGGTCTTTTCCTTCTTAAGCATCTTTTTGTTTGTATACTATTATGTTTTTAACCTTACCACCTTAGCATGATTTTGTTTGTTACTGCTTTCTGTTGGGTCTCCCAGCTGTGAAGCACAGGAGGAGTAGATGCATCATGATACACGGATCCCACCGATGCAAGGGGAGATAGGGAATACTAGGGTAGGGGTGGGTGATAGGAGGGAAAGGGGATTTGGGGAGGAAATAATGAAGGGAGCGGGGAGGGAGCACTCGAATGGATTGTGATTGCAGGACTCATGTTAAAGGTGATTTAACATGGGATGGGGGCGGGGGATCCTCTAAAGTTGATGTGATGATGGTTGTATAATTCTTATTGATATGATTGAATGATTGCACCATTGAGTTCTATGATATGTAAATGATGTGTCCATAAAACTGCTGCTGCTGCTGGGGGGCGGGGGAGATAAAACAAAGGTGGCGCTCGTGTCCCAAGGTTTTCTGAGTCCCCCAGCCCGCAATGAGATGGTGGAGGGAGAGAGCGTGGGAAGCGCCATTGGACTGAGGGCGGTTATGTCCGATGTCGGGTGTGACAGGCACACTGGAACCAAGGAAATGTGCACTGGCAGTGTGAAACGCCCTCTCCCGGGTTCTCTGTGTTCTCTGGCACAGTTTCTCTTCTGGAACACACGGTGCTGCTCCTGGTACTTCCTAGCAGGTTCAAGTGCAGGGTGTTACAAGCCAGCAGGAGGGTCCCGGTAGGAGCAGGGGAGCCATGCAAAGGTATGGGTCTCCCAGCACCCAGGGGTATCTTTAGGAGGGAAGCCCTTGCAGCCTGAGCCACCGAGGGAGACGCATCTGGGTGGGGTCTCTGCCATGGGTGCTCTGTCTTTCACCCCCTTGGCTGGCCACGTGAACGGTACCCGTGATATTGAAAAATCAAACCCGAACGTTGCCCTCCTGCCGGTTCCAACTCATGGTGACTCCACGTGTTTACAGTGGAACCAAGCTCCATAGAGCTTTCTCGACTGTCATCTTTACAGGCCTTTTTGTCGCAGCACTGTAGGATGGATTCACATTCCAGCCTGTGGGTCAATAGTCTCCTACAAACCATTTACATCTCATCCTGAGTGCGAGGTAGTTTCAGCCCAAAGGTCAGGTGTAGCCCTGTGGCCAGGTGCCTTTGTGACGACTGAAGCCCAGGTGTGCTCTGTTTACCTTGCAGGCAGCACCTGCCACTTCCCTGTCCAGCTTGGCATGCATGCACATGGTTCGTTGGGCTGTCTGGAGCCCTGAGCCAGACGCCAGTTCTGGGCAGATGACCTTACCTCTGCAGGGCGGGACCCAGCCCGGCCCCGTCAACTGTCTGGTCTACAAAGTGCCCTCAACCAGCATGAGCTCTGAAGAGGTAAGTTGTTACATCTTCTTAATCAGGCTTCTCTTCTCCAGGGAGCTTCTAGAAAGTTCTTCCTGCGCCAACATCAACACTGTTAAGTTTCCAGATGTGTCCCGAGTAGGAGTTTTTCGTGTTATGGCCATGCCCTTGGCGCCCTGGCACGCACATTGACCTCTGGTCTTGTAGCCTCCCGGTAGCAGTTTTACAGAAGACGCCTGCGGCGTTTGGCCGATTAGAGAGGGGGCTCCTTGTGACCCTCCGCCAGTGACTCTTCTAGTGGAACAAGGCCTGTGGTGGAGCCGAGTGGTCTCACTTCCAGGCTGTGGGACTTTGTCTGCCGTGGCCACCATTAGACGTTGGCTGTCTTGGGCGGTGTACGAGGACTGAGCTAGAGCAGGGAGCCTCCGGTGGTGGTGGTAGTTTTTTCCCTACCTTTTTTTTGAGACGTCTATTTTAAAAAATTTATTTCACTTTTTGAGTCTAGAACGAATATGGCAAAACATATCAGTTCAACATTTTATACACGTTCAATTCAGGGACATTGATTAAGGGCATCAACCTGGCTAGAAATTGCTGACCGTTCCCCTTAGAGTGTGCTAGCCACTGTCTCTGAGGAGGACACCCCGGCCTGGCCCTACTTGGGTCAGAATCTACCTGCCCAAGTGATTTGGTTGCTAGAAAACGTGTCCACTGTTGTTGTTTCCGTGCCACGGCTGCACCGTCGGGACTGGTTCAAGGCCCTGCGTGGACGACCTTCTTTGCGTTGTGCAGCCGTTCCCACCCTCCTGCTCGGAA